AAGAACGTCGAATCTGAATCACTTGAAAAAACACGGGGGTGCTTAACTTTTTTCCAGGTGTATATATATATGGCTAAGTACACTTAACTGATGCTATAACTGCAGAACAAGCATTACTTGGACATACTTTACATTTTACGAAGTCTACAAGAAGCTTATGACTGACTTCTCAAACTTATAACGAAGCAAGGAATCTATATGTCCCAAGGATAAAGCCCATTTTTAATAGCAAGAAATACTACCAATACCACTTAACTGTTTACTTTTAACAAAAAATCCATTATATACTCCATCTGAACAGTGCCAAAGAAATTTTCAAACTGAGTGAGCTGTCTTTTTACACCATAGTGAAGAAAACACGAATTTATTCATCATTTCTATATTAAAACTTTGTCTTTCTATTAGATATAAATTAAATGAGAGAAAACATTTACAGATATTTTTGCTTTTTTTTTTTTTAGAATGTATAGTGGTAACTGAAAGCTTCACCTGTGATTGTTTTGGACTAACCTTAAATTAATATATGTTTTTCTTTTCCTACATTTAAAAATATAAAAATGACACGTTTGGTAATTGATAAATTAAGTGAAATACAGCATCCTCAAGTCTCCATACGAGCTTAGTCAATTACGCAATTGCCAACATTTTATGCTATCACCTTTTACTTGGACTCTGAAATAGAGTATACGTTAGAGGTTGGCGTGGCAAGTGCATCTCACTTTCTAATTAATAGCTTCATAGATAAAGAAGATTCAAGCCTGGAAAAATATTTTTTTTTTGTGGGAATGGTCATAGTACAGTATCAATTAACGTTAGACTTTGTGCTTCAAAAAGAGAACTTTCGTCATGTCATATACGGTGTGTTAGATTTTATATATATAAATATAATAGTACTGTGTTATGTGTCCATGTATCTACTTCGTAGGGTGTGGATGGATCTTCATCAAAAGTTGTATGGAAGCTCATTAGGTCTAGTCGAGTTACATACAAATTTTCATGTTTACAGTTTTTATGGGCATTTTTTACAATTAAATATAAGAAAAGCTTCATTTTGATTGTACAATGTGAGTAAATAATCATAATGACGAAAGTTTAGGACGTTAAAAGACCTTAGAATTAGTGTAACAAGTAAAAATCACATGTCCTCAATTTAATCTATCAATTCAAATTATTTCATGGACCTGAACACGTCAGTTACAATTTGTTGAATATTAAAAGTAAGTTCAATCCGGAAATTCCCAAAGAGGGTGGTTTCGGCATGTATTTTCGAGACAAGCTTTCGTTTGTTAATTGATAAATTAAGTGAAATACAGCATACTCGAGTCTCCATACTAGTTAGTACTGTTACGACAGCGGAAGTCACGTGAAGAGTTTCTAGAAGGATCGTGAATTAAGTGGAATACGGCATACTCAAGTCTCCATACTAGTTAGTACTGTTAAAACAGCAGAAGTCACGTGATGAGTTTCTAGAAGGATCGTGAATTGTCCTGGCAACGCTAATCTTTTTCAGCACCCTCTATTTTAGTATATAAGCCCGGCAGATATATATATATATATAGAGAGAGAGAGACAGATAATTTGGTCAAGCGAGCGGTAGTGACGGTAAT